TTGAGGTGTGTGTGTGTGTGTGTGTGTGTGTGTGTGTGTGTGTGTGTGTGTGTGTGTGTGTGTGTGTGTGTGTGTGGTTTATTTATTTATTTATTTATTTATTTATACACAGTGTATAAATAATAAAAAATCTCAAATATCCACTCTCTTTTATTATGACAAAGCTACAACCACCAGGGTAATTAAAAAATAAGGGATATTTTCTTGGCAGTCATGCCTTGCAGTTTGTGGTGAAATGAAAAAGTATGGTAGTATATATGGTGCATATCCTAATACTGTAACCTATTTTTTTTTTCATTGCGTGTGAGTCACCGATATATTTTTTGCAGTTGTCATGTTCAGTCACTTTTCGGTCGCGTTGTTTAGTGTGCAGGATGCGTAACAATGGACCGCACAAGAGAACTAAATGAAAAGATTCTCTGAAGTTTATCTCTATGTGGTCTTCCAGCTGAAGAGCAATACCAAAGAGAAAGAGTTGGTGGACCAAAGCCAGGCAGAGGAGTTTGTACGTCATGCACTGGCATTCTGCGAGAGCCTCTATGACCCTTATTGCAATTGGAGGCATCGAACCTGCGGGTAATATCACTCAGCAGATACAACCGATAAGTATTGCATTGCAGTTAGCGATCAGTATTGATTTGCAGTTAGCCACTAGTATGTGTAATAATTTTCATACATGTGTCCAACCTGCTTTTTTTTTCTCTAGGAACCAGCTGGGCACAGTCGAGAGAAGCAGGCAGAAGTACAAAGCAGCTCCACTTACTGTGGAATTTGTCCCCTTCTTTTACCGTACGTTTCTAACCTCCATGCCTTCTGTCATTCACATTTGTTTCTGTTCCTGAAAAGTAGGGAAACGCCAAAATGGTTCAAGACTTTTCTGTAAGTTCTCTTACAACTTAACTGTAGTCCTTGCTGTGTTTGCCAGCCATGCAGATGAGATGATAAACGGTCTCTGCCCTCAGCCATTTTGAACAAATAGTCAAATATTTGTAGCTGTTGTAGTTTGATGGCAAACATAATGGCAGGTAATGGCTTCAGTCCTTCATGGTACAGTAGTTCCCAAACGTGCATCTGCAAAGTTATCCTTGAAATCTCTTCATGAACAATACCAAGATGTCATATGTGTCGTACCTCCTCAACAAGATGTGTTGACAGTTGAGTTCGTTTATGACGTGGGAATACCATGACCCAGAGTCACTGTCTCATGCATGTCTCTTTTGTGCACATTCTGTGCTGACAAGCATCTTATTTTCTCTGCTTTACAAACTCATTAGACCTTGGCCAATTTAGGTTCCAGTAATGCATCAGTCTGTCTGTATGTGTCCTCTCTTTCTAGAGTGCTTTCAAGAAAGTGAACACCTTAAGGAAAGCTTAAAATGCTGTCTGCTGCACCTATTTGGTGCCATAGTAGCTGGTGACCAGGTAAGACACCTGGTGAGCAGTTCAAAAGAACAACCCCTCTAATACTGTAAATGTTTGGATAATGTTGTTTATTTACCAGAAATGTGTCTTCTGGACCGCAGATTCTCGACCAATCACACAAGATAAGGCTCAAGATAATAAGTTACTGATGTTGAAATAGCTTAGGATTTCTTGAGAAGTCCATGAAATGTAAAAATATCAATTACATGGAAAAACATGCATGCATGTGTTATTTGGAACGGCACTGATACATAGTTTTCAAACGTTTAGGCAAATAGAAACGTTAAAAATGTGGTGTGCATTTTTATTAAGCCTCCCTGCATCAATGCTTTACAGAGCTACCTTATTCTGCAATTACAGCTGTTTTTAAGGTTAGGGTTTTTTTGCCGGCATTGCACATCTTGATACAGTAATTTGTGTCCATTCTTCTTTGCAAAAAAAGCTCTGCCAGATTGAATGCCAATTTTCAAGTCTTGTCACAGTTGCTCAGTGGGATTTGGACTTTGACCGGGCCACTCAAACTGTTATTTTCCACGGATTGGCATGTATTTAGCTCCAACCATCTTCCCATCAAGTGTGGCCAGCTTTGTCTATCCTCGCTGGAGAAAAGCAACCCCACAGCATGATGTTACCACGACCAGGTTTCATAGTGGGGATGGTGTGTTCAGGGTGAAGAAGAGCATTATTAGTTTTACGCTTTACATTCAGGCAAAAAAAATTCTACATGGGTCGCATCTGACCAAAGTGTCTTCTTCTGTTGTTTCTGATGTTTGAGGTGTCCCCTACATGGGAAACAGGACTTCGTATGCCTTTCTGGCCCCTCTTCAATAAAGGCCAGATTTGTGGAGTGCACAACATGCAGTTATCCCGTGGACAGTAGTTGCCACCTGAGCTGTGTGTTTCTTCTGCTCTTAAAGAGTGACCATGGACCTTTGGCTGCTTTTCTTACCAGTTGGTTACTCAATCGCTCTGTGCGTTTAGGCGAACAGCCATTTCTTGGTACATTTGCAGCTGTGTTTTTCTCCCAGTTTTAAATGATGGATTGAACTGTGCTCTCTGAGATGTTGAAATTTTGGATTTTTTTTTTTTTTTTAATGTAGCCATGTGCTTGATTGTTTTTAGGGATATCGGACTACAGAGGGTTTACTCCAAATGCACACCACACTTTTCAGATTTATATTCACTTAAAATTAATTTTCAATCCACTTCACAATTATGTGATACTTTGTTTTGGTCTACTCTATCACATAAAATCTCAACAATATACACTCAAGTTTGTGAATGTAATGTCACAAAATGTGAACAAATTCAAGATTTTTGATTACTTTTTTTAGGCACTCATATGTTCAGCTTCAGTTTGAGGTTTTACCTGTTGAGACTGCATTTAGGGGTTTGAGATGCCACCAAATGGAAAAAACAGAAAGCTCTCTATAAGTGAAATATAAGAAGTGGAAGGTTTTTGAATGACCGAATCAATTTCCGACTTAAACCCTACAGATCATGCATTTCACCTTCTAAAGAGGAGACTGAAATAGTTAAAGATCAACAAATGAAAGAGGCTGTTGTCAAAAGCTTGGAGAAGCATGCAAAATAGCAACCCAAAAGTTTGGTCAATGGGCCACAGGCTTGATGCACTTATTACAAGTCATGGATTTGCGTCTAAATATTAAGTCTTATTCACTGTCTTCTGTAACATCTCTCAGTTCCAAACAGTTTTTTCACATGAAAATGTGGTGTCTTATCACACCACAAGTGATGTTCTAAATTGATCAGATGCAAGTACTTGCCCATAAAATCCAAACTATTGATCTCTCATCTCATACTCATCTTTTGATGTAAAACCCAAATTTGTAGCCAGAACATGATGCTATAAACACGGGAAGAAGACTAAATTTAACATCTTTAACTTCCCTTCCCCTTATCCCTCCGACAGAAGAACGCACTGCTTGCTGTCTCTCCGGCCACCATGGAGGTTTTGATTCGGGTGCTGGTGGATTGCTCCATGGGTAGCTGTTCCTCAGACGAAGGAGAGGACTGGGACAGTGAGGCCCCTGATCGGAAGGCATGTCTGACTTTGGGATGTTTGAGGGTGGTGGTGCAGTGTCTCCTGGCCGCCAGCTCAGACCAGCGGCAAGTAGAAATTGCCTCTGTGCTCGAAAACTACTTCAAGCTGCTCAACTCGGACCCAGCAGCTGTGGTTGCCGCTCGACAGCAGCAGCAGCAGCAGCAAGCCAAAGGTCGAGTGCCAACACTAGGCAGGCACTGGGAAAGCCGCTTTGTGGCACTGCAAGTGCACATGCTAGGTATGGCAAACAAAAAAATGGATGTGCTCCTTCCTACAACCATTCAGTTTTGCAGAATATTCGTAGAGTACTTTCATACTTTATGTCTGTGTCCCCCCCCCCCCTTCTCACTCACTGTCACACAGACACAATGAGGGACATGTTCCTTTGTTCAGACAGGCCAGTTCTACAAGCCATCTTCCTCAACAGTAACTGCTTTGAGCATCTGATACGACTGCTCCAAAATAGCAAGGTAACTTCCTGGTTGATTTGAGCCTGTAAAATGATGGGTCATTATAAAAACTCAGAAACAGGAGCTATGCAAATAGTTTCTCTCTTTTTTAAAAAGAAAATTTTAAAGATAGAAAATACAGGGGTGTTCACACGGCAACTTTTACTCCAGTGCAGCACCGGGGCTGCCCCCCGTAGAGCGTTCACACGTACAAAGTTAAACCGGTGTAGCCCCTGAAAACAGCTTAAACCCGAGCAAATTTAACCCTGCTCAGGAGGTGGTTTAAAAATTTACTCCGGAGTAAATGCTAGTTTGCGGGGCAGCACCGATATGAAATGGGACATGTGAATGCTACAGGAGTAGACTCGCTACGCGTGAGACGAGTTGATTACATACGGGTAGAATGCGTTGTTTTCGTGCTCTGTTGTACTTCCGTCATCTTTCCTTTCTCTCTCTCATCCTTTTACGGTGTCTGATAGCCCACAGCGTTGATTTATCTGGAGAAGAATAAACCATGGTTTTTCGATTTGTCACAAACAAGGCGGGGAAAAGGAAGTACACTTTACGCATGCGCATGTTTTATATCGTATTGCACGGTCGCAGAAACTGCCGTTTGAACACAATTGGGGCTGCCCCGGGGTTAACACGCTTCTCTTTAGTAAGCAGCTTTATACGTGTGAACGCTCCACAAAATTTACACCGGTGTAAGATATATCGCAACAGAATACATCGGTGCAGCACCAATGCAAATGTGTGCCGTGTGAACACCCCTTATTTCTCCGTTCAGCAGGAATGTTTGAAAATTATGTGAATGAAAGTATGTGAATGTAACACTTCAGGCTTTTTGGACCGACAGACTATCACACTGCACTGTTTACCATGTGTAGTTCATTTGACGCTTTTAGTTTAAAAAATTGTAGGCAGCATGTTTGGTAACTCTCTACAGCTCGGCTGGATCACCATCACTCTGCCACAGTGCCCCCCCCTCTCACCCCCTACTCAGGGTCAGGTCTTCTCACCTCTCACCTGCCACTCTAATCACTTCATCCTTCCTCCTCCTGCCACCCACCTTTGTCTCTTCCTCTCTCGTGCTCTCTCAACTCCCCCACGCGCTATGCTGACATCTTGCCTGTTGTGTGTGTCAGCTGGTTAACGCTAGGTGCACGGCGGCAGACAAGGACCAGAAAGATATAACCAACAACAGGTTACTGTCAGGAGAGAGAGACACTCAGGTACAACAGAGAAAGTTCCACCTCAACCTACCCTCCCCATCCCCATTCACGATCCATCTCGCCCCTTACCTGACCAGAGACACTGGCCACTCCACAGCAAGACCCTCACCAGACCCTGCCCAGAATATTACATTTTGTAAGATTCAGGCATAGAAATTCGCTAAACATATGGACAAATATATGCCGTAACTCTTCGGCACTCTCAAATAAAAGTGATACTCATTATTTTTGCTTTTGCAGGAATATCTTAGAAAAGATCTCTTCTGTGTTCCAGTATTTTCATCCAGCTCTTCGTACTGGCATTGCTCACAGAGGTGCCGTTTAGGTTAGTTGCGTTTGAAGCCCTCCATTGATCAAGGTACTCTGAAAGAAAGGTAGATAGACCTTTACATCAAGTGTCCTTGTTTTAGCGAACTCAAACCTAATGAAGAGGCAGATGTTACAGCCTGATGTTTTTTTTTTCTTTACAAGTTTATCTTTTGAATTCCAGCATAAAGTAACATACACAGAACCTGAGCAACGCTCGAGCCATTTGCAATATCGATAAAATGGATAGCTGAACAAAACAATACAAATTCTGTAGATCTGTATTTTGAATTAACTGATGAATAGTATGACAGCAAATCTCTGCAGTCTTGCTGAGGAGTGACCTCTATGCCTCCCTCACAGCTTTGCAAGCCAGCTTCCTTTAATTGGATTGCATTTTTCTTTTTTTTTTTTATCCTCCCCTGTGTGTTGTCTTGGTTTTCCTCACTTTTTGGGGGGTCCATTTGAATACTGTCACATTGGAGCAGTGTTTGTCCTCCCAGAGTTCAAGGGTATGAGTGAGGGGATCTGGGCTCATTGACATTTTCAACACAATCCAACTCCAGCTGGTCCAAAATTCAAACTCTTTTCAGCTGCATGTTTTATTTTCTTGAAACATCAGGCAAGGAACACTGTACCTGTTGGACAGGAGCAGGACAGAGCTGGATGGAGATGTGTTTGTTTTCATGGTTTGGCTTCTGGTGTGTGGGTTGCATTCTGTGTCTGTGTGATAAAAAATACTTTGTGCGTGTAACTATGCATGTTTGTGCTTGTGTGCGTAAATGAGTGTTTACGTTTTCATTTCGTGGTGACCAAGATGTTCCTTCCTTTCAAGGTAACACAAGTAGTAAAACCTGTGATCCCTGCAGCTCCTACAGTTAGACTTGTAACAATTGCTGATGATTTTACTCATGTTTTGCCTCTTACCGAGATCAAAACCAAACACCTCCATCTTTTGATTTTCTTCAGTAAATAAAGCTTACCTGTTTTGTGTGTGGATTTAAATTGCCTGCATGTGTTTACACGGTGAAAATGTTTTTTCAAACAAAATGCTGATGCAGGGTTTTTTTCAGGTGATACAAGGACGGTTAGACTCCCTTGCTGTAGCAACTATTAAAGCCCTAACCACAGTGATGCATAGATCACCAGCTGCAAAGGTAAAGAGTCGTATTATCAACTCAGGTCTACATTTGTGTAAAATTTGCCAAGCTAGGTGGACAAAAATTGCTGTCTCAATTTCTGCTAGTAATAGCAATTACATAATAAAAGCTTTTTTCTAACACCTCACAGGAGGTGTTCAAAGAAAGAATTGGTTATAATCACTTGTACGAAGTCCTCGTTTCACTTGGCCAGCCATCTCGACACCTCCTTAAAGAGATGATGAACATGGTGAGACTACTTATTGTTTTGTTGCTCCTGTGGGTTGTGTTGTAATGGGTTGTGTGTCTTTGGGTGGATGCTTAGGCAGTGGAAGGTGAGCACACATCAGTGGGAATCTTGGGAATCAGCAATGTGGAGCCTTTACTCCTGCTCATCCAGTGGCTGCCAGATTTGGACTCATCAGAGTTACAGATTTTTGCTGCCGATTGGCTCTGTCGGCTCATCTGCCTCAATCGGCAAACACGTACCACCTGTGTCAATGCTGCCATGGTCTTGAGAGCACTGGCTGTCCTTGAGTGCCACCGGCAGCTACACCGAGTTTGTGCAGAGAGCCTTTTGCGATTGGTGGGATCCCTTGGCTCCCTGTCCCTGAGTGCCAGGGATCTCCTGAGGCTCCTGCACCTGCTCAGACCACCAGAATCCAACCAAGCTCATCCCTATGTGGGACCTGCTCTGAAAGCTCTCCTTGTCATGGTACGTAAACAGGGTCTGGAGAGCGCAATGCAGTACTTTGATCTGTCGCCCAGTATGGCTGGCATTGTAGTTCCAACAGTACAGCGCTGGCCAGGCTCTGCCTTCAGCTTCCTAGCCTGGTTGTCCCTGGACCAGGATCAATTGGGTCCAGTCAGCAAGGACAAGAGAAAGCAGCTCTACAGGTTCGTTCAAAAGAACAGTTGGGGGGTGTTGTGTGTGTGTTTGTGTGTGTGTGTGTGGGGGGGGGGGGGGGGGGGGGGCAGAGAGAGAACACCATTTTCGACATCATAAAATGTGTGGTTTTTATTCTGCTTATGCTACAACTGCATTTTGAGCCTGAAATCAATACTTGAAAACTTGTCATTAATCGTGTAAGAAAAAAAGGATTTGAATTGGAAAATCTGTTTTGATTTCAAAGATGTTAATGAGTGCATGGAGAAGAACCCAATCGAATCATCTATACACGTTGATTCGTCTTTTATGGATTATATATCCTTGAAAGAAATGCTACATTTACAGTACTGAAAAGTTCATTCATAATTATCTATTTAAAAGGAAAGCAGTTGTATCATACCCTCTGGAACTGAGCCGTACCATACAGTAATAAGATGTATATCGAATTGTCTTTTATGATAAAATATACAGTATATAGTATAGTGGTAACTTGATATGTGTGTGTGTGTGTGTGTGTGTGTGTATACATATATGTATATATATATATATATATATATATATATATATATATATATATATATATATATATATATATATATATATATATATATATATATATATATATATATATATATATATATATATATATATATATATATATATATATATATATATATGTGTGTATATATATATGTGTGTATATAAGTACATGTGTGTATATATGTATATGTATATGTGTATATATATATGTATATGTGTATATATATGTGTGTATATATATATATATATCAGAGATGAAAGTCCTCCGGATTTTCCCAGAATTCCGGGTTTTTCAAATTTTTATGAAAATTTCTCCGGAGAATTGTGGAAAATT